AGGAGTAGATGGTGGTATGATTGAAAACCGAATTGTTGTTGTTATATAGATTCAGAGACTGGATTTGAGCGAGACTGCCACAGGAGGGATTTTTCAGCACTTGACTACCTTGCTAGCAGTGGCATAGTTCTAAACTAGACGGCCCATTCTGCTTCAAGACCTCCTAGCTAAGATAATGCCTGACCCCATGCTTCAGCTAATAGTTTCATGAAGCCAAGAGGTGGTGTCATCATCACAGTCAGAAAGCTAGTAAGATTCAAAGAGGGATTAGAGGTTTATATGACTAATGACCACATCCAGAGTTGTTATATCGAATGTTAAAAATGGAGTTCAAGAAGGGATACAAAACCTCAGGTTTCAAGGTTTAAACCTCTTTCTGTTATGGATTAGGATGAGACCTTCATGGGGGCAGATTATCCCATATCTGCCCTGTTTGGGTTTCTTGCAACTTCCTCTGAAGCACCTGATACTGCCCACTCTCAGCGATGGGATACTGGTCGACTCGATGGACCATGGGCCTGACCCAGTCTGGCAGTTCTTAAGTGTGGCTCACTGGGCAGGGTATCAAAATGGGAGTCAGGAGACTCTGTCTCTATTCTTGGCCCTGCCACTGAATCTCTGTGTGGCCTGAGGCAAGTCATTTCACCTCTCTGTGCCTCAGCTTCATTGTTTGTAAAGTGGAGATTGTGATATTGACCCATGGCTCTAAAGTAGGCTGAAATCCTCAGATGAAAACTGCTGCGTATTGTCATCAATATCATGCGCATGTGGTGAAGAGGAATTAATGCTTGTAACACGCTTGGAGATGCTCAAATGAAAGGCATTCTATACGTGTGAAGTATACGGTCTTCGTAGACTGGGCAGCTGGGAACAGTGTTCGGTACTAGTGCCTAATCCTACACATTGCGGAACTAGAACTGAAGCACCATATAAGAGGCTGTCATCATCTGCTAGGATTGGACCCTTAGTGCAGGATTTTCAAAATCAGTAACTAATTTGGGAGCCTTTATTCTTCACTACCAAGATAACATGTGACCCAAAATTTGTTCCTGCTCATGAAAATGTTTGGTCTTAGTGTATAGCATTTTATTTTTTCTTGATAAGAATATGTAAAAAGCATTGGTTTACTTCTTCTGTTAATCTCAAAATAAAATAATCAACAATGTTATAAATCCTCTGCCTATCGCTACTTCTTATACACCTCTACCCCAATATAACACGACCCGATAGAACATGAATTCGGATATAACGTGGTAAAGCAGCGCTCTGGCCGGGCGGGGCTGCGCACTCCGGCGGATCAAAGCAAGTTCAATATAAAACATGGTTTCACTTATAACGCGGTAAGATTTTTTGGCTCCCGAGGACAGCGTTATATCGGGGTAGAGGTGTACTTTCTGCAAATGGAAACGTTTCTTTAGCACAGACTCTATTTCCATTGCTCATCTGGAAGCATTAGATATCCTGTTTTTTGTCCTTAAATGTGAACTGCAAGTCCTTACACAAAGCAGTTCCACAGTTAAATTGAAACTGTTCAAATTCAGGCATCACAGTTATCATTGTACCCGATCCCTCTGCTCATGGAAACCTTGCAGCTAATACTACATTACTAAATGTGTTAACTCTGATTTCACTCTTAATAAATAATTCCTATTCTTAATTGCATTTTGGAGGGATGATTAATTATGTGACAGGAGGCTACCACTAGAGGGATTAAAGTGATTGGATTTGCTATTGCTGTTTTGCCTCCTAATTCCCTTGCGGGAGAAAGAGGTTATTTGTTAATCCATGCCCTGCTTTCACTGTTAACTTTTTTACATTCACAGATAATTAATTGCTTGAGTCCCGTAACGAATGGGGCATTTAATATTGTTTAAGGAAGTTCGTTTTAATTTTCCTGTCCATTGCAGTTTTGGATTTCTCTACATAGGATATGTTAGTTAACTATTACTAAAAAAAAATTCCATATTCAAACACTGCTATTAAACCTTACCAATGGGAAATAATCCTTTTAAATGTGCATTTTAAGGAACAATCACTGCTTCTTAGTCAGCTGGGTTACAGTTAAATGGAGCTACTCCTGTAAGTAAGGTGAGCAGAATTTGGCCCTAAATGGGGGAAGCAGGGGAAAAAGGTTTCTGAATGCAACTACTTCTTAGAGGATTTTCAAGTCTTAATAAAGCTCCCTAAAGAGGACAGGGCCACCCAGAAGATTCAGGGGGCCTGGGGCAAAGCAATTTCAGGGGCCCCTTCCATAAAAAAAAGTTGCAATCTTATAGAATACTATATTCTCGTGGGGGCCCCTGTGGAGCCCGGGTCAAATTGACCCACTTGCCGCCCCTCCCCCCCTCCCCCACCGGGTGGCCCTGGAAGAGGAAAAGGAGTACTTGTGGCACCTTAGAGACTAACAAATTTATTAGAGCATAAGCTTTCGTGGACTACAGCCCACTTCTTCGGATATGCATCCGAAGAAGTGGGCTGTAGTCCACGAAAGCTTATGCT